ACACACACACACACACACACACACACACACACACACACACACACACAAACACACACACACAAAAGGGGTGGAAAGAAAACCTTAACATGGGGGTGGGGAGAGTCCAGGGGCGGAGTCTGGAAGCTGGGGATAAGTGGCATTCTATCATTCGTTCCTCCATCCGTCCATCCATCCATCCATCCATCCATCCATCCATCCATCCATCCATCCATCCATCACGTTCATCTACTAGGTTCCCAGCCCAGTTGCCTTCACTGGCCCCTAAAGACGCAGCTTTTAGCCTTTTTCAAGGACAGTGGCTCATTCCCTCCTGAAGAGGCTTCACCAACCAGAACCCTCTCTGCCCACGAGAAAGCAGAGAGGTCTGCGCCCCCAGAGCCGGGCCGGGTCCCCCAGTGTGCGGGACCCCGGAGGAGGGGCCCGGAGACCTGGCTTTGAGCCCGTGGCCCGCCCGCTCCGCCCCGCTCCGCCCCGCGGGTCCCGTCAGCTTGGCCCGGGCCGGAGCCGCCCCCGCCTTACCAGGGTTTTGGCTACGTTTCCCCTCTGGGTGATATTTTTGCTGTGCTTCTCGTTAGCCATCCGGATCCGCTGTTTGGCCACCATGGCTTGGGCGCTTGGAGATGCTCTCGACTCCCACCTGCAAGGATGGCCGGGGTGAGCCGCTGCCGCAGGGCCCCGCGGCCTGCTCGGGCGCTGCAGGTGGCAAGGCGCGGCCCAGCCCCGCGCACCCCGCTTCCAGAGCCCCAGCCAGCCGGCTCCAGAGAGAGGCCAGCGCGCGGACGGAAGTAATCTCTCATCTCAGGAAACCCTCTCCGACTTCCTCGCCATCCTTCCGGTCCCCCCAGCTACCTACCCTGCGCGGCCACCGAGGCAGGAGGAGGGAAACGGGAGGCGGGCGCTGCCACAGCGCCGCGCGCCGTGCCGAGGCGACCCTGGCCCAGGGTGTCCCGGTCCTGAGATCGAACGCTGCGGGGCACAGGGTTCGGGCGACCACGCGTTTGTGCGTGCGTGGGGGATGGGGACGCAGCCGCACCTGGCCTGGCGACCCCCTGCCTGTGTTTCTTGACCAACTCAAGCCAGGGAGGGATGGGGCACTGGCGCTTCAGGCTGAAGGCTAGATCCTAGGCACTGAGCCCTGAGCTTCAAAAGACAAGCTGAACCTGACCAGGTTTGGGTAATACTGTTGGGGCACAGCCCAAAGGAACCCTAGGTGACTGAGGAAACCTCACTCTACGACCTTCTGCAGGGCTGTGCGAAGAGACCCTTTGTGACATAGGAAGAGGGAACCGGGAAGCCTCTTTCGGTTCCTGACGAATGTGGACCAGAAGTCTTGAGGATGGAGTTGGACCAGGCCTTCTCTTCGCCTTGGTAGTGGTAGTGGGCCTAACAGCTGAGCTGGATAAGAGGTCGTGAGCCTTACGGCACCAGAAGATTTGGTGGCCACTGCCCATAGCCAAAGCGTTGGCCAGGCTTGTCCTCCCCACCACCTCGGCCTTGGGGCATCTTGGACCGTCTCCGGCCACCCTTGTTCCATGGGGTGCTGAGTGTGGACTCCTAGACACGGTTGGGATTTTCCTTGGAAAGAGACATAGTCATGTTTGAATCTCATCTTGCCACACCAAGCTTGATGGACTTAGCGCCTTGGAGCTCAGGAGGAAGAAAGGGGGAAACAAAGGAAGATTTGGGGAAGTGGAAAGTGGTGATCCAGGGGCAGACTGGCACCCCGGGGTGAGGGAGGAGAGTTGTGTAGACCGGATTTGGCTGATGTAACTCTGGTCCTATCTCGCGGGCACTGGAGGCTGAATTTCAATAGGTTCTGGTATGGGCAGCATTTCCTTTGTGGGTGGGAAGTTAGGAAGAGCTCTTTTGTTGATAACCTTTGTCTTCGTTAGGGTTTCTATTGCTGTGACGAAACACACCAAGACCAAAAGCAAGTTGGGGAGAAAAGGGTTATGCGGCTTACACTTTCCATATTGTCATTCATTACTGAAGGAACTCAGGGTGGGAACTCAAACAGGGCAGGATCCTGAAGGCAGTAGCCTTGGAGGGGTGCTGCTTACCAGGGGCTTGCTTATCCTGGCTTGCTCAGTCTGGTTTCTTAGAGCACCTGGTAGCAACAGCCCAGGGTTGGCCCCACCCACAATGGGCTGGGCCCTCCCTATAATGAAGAAAACGCCTTACAGTTTGAGCTTCATGGAGGCATTTCCTCAACCGAGGCTCCTTCCTCTCTGAAGACTCTAGCTTGGGTCAAGTGGACACAAAACCAGCCAGGACACCCTCCTGTCACTTGGCTAGAAATCTTTCCACCCGAATGAACAACTACTGGCTTCATAACCCTTAGGAACACCCACCATCATCACAGGTCCACTCAAGTCTGCCCCACTCTTGTCCCTGCTTTTAAGGACCACTGACTTTTATGGAGGGGGAAGTGGGCATCTCTACCTCTGTGGTGTCACCTGCGGAGCTTGGCTATGTAAGAGACCCAAAGGTGCTTCTGCCTGACTCTCTGTTATTTCAGGAACTGGGCAGAATCAGGGCAGATTCTCATGACAGCTGACCAGAGGCCAGACTCTAGGTAGTGAGTAGTGAAGTAAAGATAGACAGTTTCCACTCTGGGTCTTCAAGCAGTGTTCTTAGCCCTACAGGGGCAACCTTATGGGGGAAAATGTATTATTTCTTGTTCTTCATTTTCTGTTTGTTAGGGAACAATTTTCCTCCTTTATTTTTTACTTTATGGCCTTTCTGATTAGTTTTAATTATAAATAGAGGGCCTGCTCAGAGGAAAAATTCCAATGAAAAGTAACTCCTCCATTCTCACATTTTCTAAGTTAGTATTCAATTATTCAACTTTTTATCTATATCTATCTATCTATCTATCTATCTATCTATCTATCTATCTATCTACCTAGTTATCTGTCATCAGCCTGCCTATTTGTAAGGTCTTTTCAAAAGTCCAAACAGAGCGATTATGGTGGTGAAAGTCTATTCCCACATTCAGGAGGCTGACACAGGGTAATCTCTATTTTAAGGCCAGCCAAGGCTATATACGAAGAAGACTCCACTTCAAAAAGAAGACAAACACATCAAGACAAATGGAGTGATGCTCTTCTATCATCTTGCTGTCTCCACACTTAGTGTATCCAAAGCACTGTTGTAACTCTATACAGTGTTTTTATACTTGCCCCCCCCATAGGAATATATAGCAATATATTGAATGATAACCATTGGTAAATGATTGCCGACACCCTTCACTGAAGAATAATATATTTATTGGTTTAGCAGCACTGAACAGAGCATCTCTGTGCATGTGTTTTTATGTACTTTTGCAGGTATTCCTGTGTGATGTTGCAGAGTGTATCACTGTTATAACTGTACTTCCTGACAAGCTTCTCCAACCTTGGAATCTCTATAGTGATGAGGATGCCTTTTTGTTTGCTAACAAGTATACTGGGGCTGGAGGGGTCCTAGGTAGCTTATAGATGGAGAATGGTCAATTGAAAGACCAAAGCATGAGTAGAATTGGGATTTTTGGCCCTGTTCCAACCTCCAGGGAAGAAAGAAGGGCCAAAAGTTGAGTTGATTACCAAGAGCCAATGATGCAATCAACCACATCAGTGTAATAAAGCCTTTATAGAATCCTTAAAGGATTTTGTTGAGTGAGCCACGGGGTGGCAGAGCCCAGGGAGGATCAGGAGGGTGTGGAAGCTCTGTGTAGCTACCCTAGCCCTGACCCATGTTGTTTAAAAGAAGGACAATCCCGATTGCTCTATTTTCACCGATGAAGACTCAGAAGCCAGATGCTGGGGTGAAAACCTGCTAGCTCAGAGAGGCAGAGAAAGTAAACAGCTAACCTTCCTTCTCAGCTAGCTCAGGTCTGGATGGAAAAAAACCTCAAAGGCTCACTAGCTCAACTGACAGCCCAGGAGCAAAAGGCCAACACAAACAAACAAAATCCAAGGCCAAAGGCTTGCTTGCTCAAAGCTAGAGAGCTGAGGAGCTGAAGCCTAAGCTAAGGCCAGAGCTTGAGCTAATCGCTTTTTCTTTGTCTCCAGTGTGTCTTAAATAACCCTCACCTCAGAGTCCCTCCTACTCTTTAATCCCTGTCAGCTGTTTTCTTGCTTCACCTCTTGACCTAGGGTTAACTTTATTAAATCCTGTGTACAGAAATCTCTTAGATTAAAGCTATGCGCTAGGGCTGAGTAAACCACACCATAATCACCAGTTAACAATAAACAGAAAGTTCTTGGATTAAAGGTATGTGATAGGTCTCAACCACACCAAAGAAACAGGATTTTTACAGTTCACAATTTGGGGGTTAACGATGGGATCAAACATCCTGCAACAGGCCAATGTTCACCTGCAGCTTTGCAAAGCCTTTATAAGAAAAGCTCAGTGTTTTCCTGAGCTCTCTGAACCATTCTAGCCAACTGCCTGGAGTAGTCTTCTCACTGCTGCAAAAAGCAGCCTTAGGAAGAAAGGCCTCATGGGGCTCATAGCTCTTAAGGATAATTCATCATGGCATGGCTGAATTATCATGGCATGGCAACAGGAGCTCCAGGTGGCTGGTAACAGCACCCTCGGAAGAAGTAATGAATGGTGCTACTGTTCAATAGTGTTTCTCCTCTTTGTGTAGGCTGGAATCACAGCCCATGGCATGGTGCTGCCCACTTTTAGGGTGGACTTTACCACTTAGCCTAGGAACTCTCTCACAGCCATTTCCAGAGGTTTGACTCCACAGAATTCTAGATCCTGTCAAGTTCACAACCGAACTAACCATTCCATCAGTCAAACTCCAAGAGGGACTCGAGGGACCTCAGCCCGTAGCCAGCTGGTTAGTTGTAAAGATAGTGATGATTGTGACTGGTATCTGAAGCAGGGGAGGCTTGTGGACGGAGGCCTTAACCTGTGTGGTTGAGTGCCTCCTCCAGGTTCATGGTGTCGGTATCAGGACTGGGTTGAACTAGGGGCCACTAGGCTGGTGTCCACTCCGGCCTTGCTCTGCCTGTGTGGAAGCAGCTCCCTGTCTCATTTGTCAGAAGGTCCCGCTGACTATGAAAGAACAAGGAAAAAGCACTTTGGCCTTTGCTTTGTCACTACGTTGTGGAATGAGGTTCTCAGTAGTAAAATTACTGTGATTTCTGTCCATGGAGTTCCTGGAACTGGTTCTGGAATGAGAAACCCCGAAGCTGTGACCTTTCCTCCATTCAGTTTAACCCCCTGCCTTTGTCTCATTGAGCCAGGCCAACAGCATAACTGATCAAATTTCTGCCCATCACCCGAGGAGCCTCATTATTGGCCATGGAAAATTGTTCTCTTTTCCTGTGTGCTCTTCTTCCCCTACTCAGCCTCCAGCTGAGCCCCCCTCAAGCAGCAGCCATGCTGGCTCCATCACCTAGGTATTCTATCAGGTTCTGAGCTGGAGCCAGTTGGGAGGAAGTTGATGAGAGTTGAGTCCCCTGGATTCACCTGTGCTGTCAACAGGCATTTTGCAAAATGTCAGTAGTGTGCTGTGTTCAACCACAACCTCTAAAACATCATGCGTGTTTAAATTTTAATTTTGGCTGGTAATTTTTTCCAGCTTTTACAGAAGATTTCCTAACAAGCCAAAGCGCATTAATCTGAAATCTGCCACACTGGATTTAGGAGAGACTGCGTTTCACCCACTTTAAAAGAAATGATAGTTCATCAAAGTACTTGGACGCTGCTCTGGGCTGTGACGTAGCGGATAACTGACACCTTTCTGTAGCAGACTACATGCGAAACGCCCCCACGATGTGGAATCTTGGGATGTTCCCTCCCACTATGGAGCATAAGGGAGCATATTTGGTCTCTCAATCCCTGACAGCTAGGGCTAGTTAATCGAATGCTCCTGTTTGAAACTTGATTCTTGATCTAGTGATTAAAAAAGATAAAGGGACGTTTAAAACTTAATTCTGGTACTGGAGTCTCCAAATGCTTCCAGTAGCCATGGGGGTGGGTCCAGCAATAGGTTACTCTTGTGCAGTCAGAAATTGTCACCATCAGTTCCTCATCTGCTTCTGTTGCTCAGGGTTTGTTTATAAACACACAAGAACTCTGATGCACGTTACAGCAAA